ATGGTTTCTTGGGATTTGTTGGGTTTTAAAGTCCGGTGCTAAGTTCATTCCATATGAACTTCAATTCCGGTGCTAATTATCCTTGGTTCTAAAAAGATTATCTGTAAATAAATGTAAACTTATCTTTGAGGTACAGTTCTTAAAGGGTTATGTCCTTTATTTAAGTATGTCTAAAATTGAAGCATATCTCAGACATTCTTTTAGGGCTTTTGTTTGTTTAATTCTTGGAAACAACCTCTCTAGCTACTTTCAATAGGGACAAGGTCAATGTACACACATCTTTCCCACACCCTACTTTTGTTAGATCTAACTGGTTTGTTTTTATTTGTTTGCTCACTTCATTGACACTATGTTTGGTTCAAGGAAATTAGAAAGAAAACAAAAGAGAATGGTTTTACCTCTGTTTCCCCACCAAAATTTAAGGAATGTGGTTTTCCCTCATCTTAGTACATTTTGACTTATCATTTTCTTTTTCTTACATTTTTCCTTTCATTTCTAACTAAATAAGAAAAATATTAAGTAAATTCTATAATTGGTCCTTTATAACAGGGGAGTTTCCCTATTTAGTCCTCTATTATCAAATATTACCCTAGTGGTCCTTCTTTTATGGGTATATTTCCACAAATAGTCCTTTTTTGATCTTCTATCATGTTGGTGTTAATTTGAGGGCTAAAAGTGTAATTTTACAATCATAATATATCTTTTTTGTCATACACAATTCCAAAGGCTGTTCCGTTTGTGTCATTTGTGAATTACAGTCGCTTTTTACTACAACCATAGTCTACAAATGTGATCTTTCGTCAGAATCCTAGCCCACAATCATAGTCATTATTTTTGTGTTATCCGCTTAACCAATATAAGAACACGTCACTAGACATAATTTTAATGTCAAATTACACTTTTAGCTTTTAAATTAGCACCAACACGGTAGAAGATAAAAAAAGGACCATTTGTGGAAAGGTATCCTTAAAAAAAAGACTAGGGGTAATATTTGATAATAGTGGACTAAATATGAAAACCCCTCTGTTATAAAGGACCAATTATGAAATTTACTCAAAAATATTTTACTTCTCATTTTGTTTCCTTTCCCTCTCAAATTTCTTGAACCAAACATAGTGTAAGTATTTCCCACAAGTAATATTTTATTAGCTCACTATTTGGTGATCAATTGTTTTATTTGTAATACGTGTTGCATTGAATATTTATGGCTTCATCTTGAAATGTCAGCCATAAGACCGGTTTATTTATTTGTTACAGTAATTGTTATCCTTTCTTTGAAGGGTATGTTAGAAAATTCCTTTGTGAGCAAATGATAGATATGATCCTTGTGAAGTGGTTGTTTGTGTTCATGAATATTGTTGATATGGTACATAGGACTCCGTGTATAAATACTCTGGATGTAGATCTAACGAAGAATCCGTTCAATTAAATACTCCGTATCTAAATATTATTGGCAAACACTATCAATATCTACTAATATACAAAGGTGAAGGGGAAAAATGAACAGTGCATTTTCCCGCCTAAGCAATTGGGTTCGGATTGGGCGTTCGGGTATGGGATTAATAATTGGGTATCCATATTTTGTAGAAGAAATAATTGACCAATTCGTATTTGGGTGTATCAATGGGTATCCAATTTGAATTAATACTTTGGAAAACTAAAATGTGTGCTTTGGAACACGAAAAAATTAAAAGCATGCAATTTAATGCTCAATTTCGTTGGCCTCTTCGTATTCAAATGCTTTGGAAAACGATTTTTTAATCTTTTAAAACACTAATTTAATGTAAAGGGCGCCTCTTGGTATTCGAGACGCAAATAAAAATTGTTGGGCGCCGTATTGCACTCGAAAAAATGAAAAAAATTAATTGGGACAATTCCCAAGAAAAAAATTAATTGGCCATTTATTCCCAAGAATAAAATTTAAATATTTCTCCCCTCCATACAAACTTATTTATAGAGCCTTATTTAGCAATCCATTTCTCAAACATACACCTTCTTCGAAAATTTCAGTTTAATTTTTTCAAAACAAAATGGCTCCCAAACGCGTTTTCCCGGGACTGTTTACCAATCTCAAAGACCTCAAAAGTGACCAAAAAAACATTGCTATTCATGTACGAGCTATACGCTGACACCCCCCATCAACCCCCACCATATCACCCTTACCCTCTCGCCCCCCTCCTACCCTGTTACTCCTGTCCACACCCACCCCGCCTGTCCTCCCCTACCGCAGCCACCTGCCCGTTTCCTCCACCCCATTGTTATCTTCCATGCCAACCCTTGCCATCTGTCCCTACCCCTTTCACCCCTATCCCGTGCCAATACCCCCACCATACGCCGCCCCCATGTTGCTAAAATAGTTTAGAATCATCTTTAAAACATATTTTAAAACATCAACTTTGAAATGTTTACAAGTAAATATGTTGTTTTTTTTTTTCAAAAAATAATTNCCGCAGCCACCTGCCCGTTTCCTCCACCCCATTGTTATCTTCCATGCCAACCCTTGCCATCTGTCCCTACCCCTTTCACCCCTATCCCGTGCCAATACCCCCACCATACGCCGCCCCCATGTTGCTAAAATAGTTTAGAATCATCTTTAAAACATATTTTAAAACATCAACTTTGAAATGTTTACAAGTAAATATGTTGTTTTTTTTTTCAAAAAATAATTTCCCTCCTACCAAACAATGGAAAATGTGTGTGTGTGTGTGTGGGGGGGGGGATAATTTTCCTTGGAAATTATTTTCCCCTGGAAAATATTCTTCTTGGATGGTATTTTCCCCCCTAAACAAAAACACCTTTAATACATAAAAAAAAGTGGCGACATTGTTTTACACCAAAACCTTTCTGATGCAGCCTTCATTGTAAGCAATAATGAGATGAAAATCTTAAAACCACTATCACCACAGGTTATTTTCACATACATGAAAAATGAGAAGGCACTGAATTGAAATATTTGCTATTCTCATTACCATTGCACGGCCAACATGCAAATCATGGAACATAATCAATAATCCTAAAGAGTATATAAACCATATCTTGAATGTAAATACGAAAAGAGGAAACAGGGCACGACCCAAATACTAAGTAGTAGGTACATAGATGTTTCATGAACATCTGCACGGACAAAAAATATGAAACCTCTGAGGCATGCATCTTCCATGTTTTGTTCTAAGGTTGATAACCAAAGTAGTGGTTTAAATAAAGTACTGATTGGTTTATATTTGTTTATTTTGCTTGATTGGCTCATAAGCCACTTAGCAGGAAGCACTTTTGGCTTTGTGATTATCGAGTTCGTGAACTATCTTGTGGTTATGTATGATGTAACTGTCAACAAACTGATGTATGCTTTAGATTCTTTGAATTAAATGTCAGGTTGTATTCATATTTAATTTTTCACTACCAGCATTGGTTCACCCTCAGTTGTTGGAATAACAATTGCTTTGTAGTGGTTGATTATATAACATCATATGAAGTGTTGACATGCATAGTTTTCCCCCCCAGGTTTTGCCAATCAGAAATCAGGCATTTTAAATGTCTTATTTCAACATTCTGAACCAGAAACAAACCCCTCAATAAGCATTGAGGCGCTCCAGGTATGGTTTACAATGTTATAGATCTTGCGTAGTCTCAAAGCAGTATGTGATATATGGATTTGTATCTGCCAAAAGAGCATGTCTCCGAGAGTTAGTAGATAGTTTCCATCAACCCCCATGGAGCCAAAGATTCACTGGTTTTTGGATTTGGGGTATGATGGAATAAAACAAAATGTCTCTTTAAAGTGTCTCTTGTTTCTTTTAATAGTGATGTAGCAGTTCATCATGGGTCATCCGGAAACAACCGTTCTTTGTTTTAAATATAGGGGTTAGGGTGCATACGTGATTACTTGTGGTGTTCTTTCCGGGGGTCTCTTTGAATATAGTTCATGTTGCATAATGTTGGTTGACACACGGTTTATTGTAGGCCCTCAAAACTGTGACTCAGAGCCATCCAAGTATAATGGTTTTGTGTTGGGAAAAGATTTCCTCTTTAACATATGAATATCTAAGTTCATCTGCTGATAATCAAACTAGATCCTGGAGAGGTAATGCGCCCGGAGAGAAAGTCATCACAGCTGCCATCAAGGTGAGGCACCTAAACCATATATATACAATTCCAATGTTGTTTGTCCTTCAAATCAATAGTGGTATGGTATGCTCTGAAGTTCACTAGGTGCTAGAGTGGAACTAGCTTGCTTAAGAGTGCCTAGTCGGGTGTCTAACTTGCCTAGAAGCGTATGAATCTATGGGGGCCTATGCATTTTTTATAGAACAGTGGTTAAATGAGTTCATGTTGTGTGTTTGCTTTGTTAAGGATTATACTCCGTAACAGTTAAATGCATTAAAATATTTTGACCAACCATATGAAGTCTGTATGCAACTCTAGGAAGCACTGACACTCCTTAAGATGTTTTACCTGCATATAGGACATGCATATAGGACAGGAGACACCTAAACTGTTTTCTTTTTTTCTTTTCTTAACTTTTTTTTATAAATATGGTGATGTGCAGACACACACACCCTTTATCCCAAATATATTTTTTAAATATATAGTTTTTATTATCAATTTTACACCAACTTTTAAATAGACTGATTTGAAAACAATTTTAATCCAACATTGTAAACCTTAAAATTAATTTGTTTTGCAGAGAGAGGAAGTGTGTGTGTGTGTGTGTGTAATGAGACTCATTTTCTCATGATAAGCTGCTGAGACATGTATAGATTGACATACCATGCTCATGGACGTGGCTTTCTATCATGTGGCATAATAATTCAGATATAAACTGTTAGAAGTACATTTTAAGCTTTCCTTGAAGATTGTGCTCATTGTTCAAAATGCATCTGCTTTCTTTTATTAACGAAGTCTCATGCTCATGATACAGTGTTTGTTTTGTAGCAATTTCACACCCTGACATGGAACTTGTGATATTCTTTTGTCATCATGAAAATGCAGTTTATATCTAATTTTCTCTTTTCAGCTGTGACATCTAGCTATGCATTATGTTACATACCCATGTGCAAACAGCTCTACATGATCATTCACTACGATACCTGTTGATGATTATTGGTTAGCGTATGCATATTACAGAACATGAAGCTCCATTAGTATTTTTTTTCTTGATTTTTTTTCAAATCTCCTCACTTGGGAATGGCTCTTCCCTTTCATCCCAAAGAAGCACATATGATCTTTTTTTAAATCAGGGTTTGTTCCAAATGGTTAATTTCTTGTTCTTATCATGTATACTTAGTAGTTTCAGAGTTTTTAACATGACATGCAGGTTTTAGATCAATGTCTTCGTGCTGCTTCTGGATTTAAAGGAACAGAAGATATTTTTGGTGATAAGTCACTTGATAACCCATTTACATCTGATTATGTGAAGATAAAGACTATTTCATCAGCTCCAGCGTATGAGATGCATACCAATGTACCATCTAAAGATGAAGCTGAAACCTTATTAGGAAGTGAGCGGTGGCTTGAATTAATTGATAGGCATCTGCCTCTTATGCTTGATCATTCTTCTGCCATGGTTAGTTGGAGTATATCTCTCTGAATTTTTCTCCCAAATGATTTACCATATTATCAAAATTTATGTGCTTAAAAAGAATCAAAGGTTTGCAAGTTTTAAATTGTGAATCTGAATTTGGATCTGAATTTTGGTTGACATTAAAACCCATTGACATTTCAATTAAAGGTTTCCAAGCCTGAGTTTGACTCAGAAAATTTGGTCGACATTAAAATTTAGAAACGGATTAAGGTTATTTTCTAATCTTTTGTTGTTTGTGCAGTCCAATATAAAACAATACTTTATTAGGATTCCACATCATGAATATGTTGAATCTAATATGCAACCATTAACTTTGTTTTTTTGAAATCTTCAGTTACAACATTGGCTCTGCTTTAGTGGTGGTATTGTATTTGTATACCTTTTCTACCTGGCTTCTTAGGGTTGCAAATCATTTGAATATATATGATTATGAGAACAAAAGCACTTATAAGACCTTAGTTGGAACAAGGGAAGCATGCTGGTTATACTTGTTATCTGTTGGAGTTCCCACATCGGAAAAATAAAGATGAATATCACTAGCATATATAGAAGGGTGAAACACTACCTATTCACTTAAACTTTTGGGTTAGAATAGTGGATCCTGACTTTAGATGCAAGTAATGCAAGTGGTTAATTTTACCTGACACTCCACCCGTTGTTCTAGGTCCACTGAAACTTTAACATTATCGCAACACTCATCATTCAAACCTTGAAACTCTTTTACTGCTCCCAATGCCCCCGCCACCATAAAAAAGTTCCTCTAGCAACTTCATCAAGCCTTCTCAGACCTGGGTAGGCAACACACTTTGTTTAAGGATATGGAAGCCATGTGTGTTGTGGGTGTAGACATCAGCCTCTGGTTGCCCTCCCAATTCCTCCTTTGACTGTCCCATACCAGCGTTCCGACTGTTTGAAGAAATAGTCTAGGCACTTGGAATGGGCCGGTCAGCCATCTTAAGCGCTTTTCCTTGTGGTCCCACACAATCGTGGGAAGGCAGCATGCTCCAAGCCACCCAAACGAAGGACCTGGTGTTTGATATCAATGTAGAAATAGAGTAATGAAGTACGTAACTCCTTAGTGTGTACAACTAGAGCTATACTTGAAGATTCATATTTTTTCTTACTCATAGCATAAATGATTCAAAACCGTCATCCTTCTTTCTAGGGTTGAGCTACACTTCTTCTTACTTCAGCTTTATGTGTCCAAGACTCCATAATTTACAGTAATGCTCAGAGTATAGTGTTCGTCTGTCATCCACGACCACTTGTTCTTCCACAATTTCTTGTATCACCAGAGTAGATCATTTAGATTTTTCATTTGGAATGTAGTCTCCTGCAAGAGACATTTGAACAACACGGTGGTTCTTGGGACAAAGTTACTTCCAAGAATTTGCTTTTGAGTATTTTCAACTTGTGGAGACCTAATTTGTCTAAAAGATTTGCCAAAAATAATTTCTTCATTTTTGTTAACTTATGCAGCAAACATTCCACCAATAGAGTATAAAACTTAGGCATCCACTATGTTGTCTTCAACTACTGTCAGAGATATATCTAGTGTGTACAGACTTAGCCTGATTCTATAACACCATAAATTTTTTTAATGCTCTACAAAGAGGTACTATTTCTGAAGATATACACATGCCGTAACAGGCTGCATAAGTGGGAATCCATTCTTCTTAAATAACTGTTTTTGTTTTTAGATTTTACGTTCAACCCCCCTTGTTAAGTGGTCTACAACTTAACAACTTAGACGGCTTGACCCATTAACCACAGTTCAACTACATGAGTGCAAGACGCTACATAAATGGGCACTCATTCTTCTCAAATAGTTTTTTTTGTTTCTAGAATTTACGTTCAACCCCCCCCCGTTAAGCGATCTACAATTTAACAACTTAGTCAGCTTGACCTATTAACCACAATTCAACTACATGAAAGCAAGACTAGAAATTCTTAGTAGTAACTTTTAGAGGTAACAATTAGGGTTATAGATCTAGAGATGGTGTAGACAGTACTAGTAAGAGACTCACTAGAGCTGCTCAAAGTTTTTGTGAGAATACATTACAACAATCTAATTGAATCCCACAAGTGGAGGGTTTGTGTAGTGTTAGACAGGATGAGATTAAAGCAAAGCAGAGTATTTTTATTGTTGTGAACTTTTTCAGGATTGTTTGTGTTCTCTAAATATAAATAGAGAACAAACCAACACGACTTTTAGTAACCAACAAAACTATTACAAACCAACACAACTATTAACATTAGAAACTATGCATAATTGCTTTTAGAAACTACCCAATTGTTTTTTATAATTAAATATGTAAAACACACTAACTGACACCATACTAACTGACGCAAACATTGTCTCATTACCCATTTGGTTATATGTGAACAAACCAAACCAGATTAAATCTAACAATCATGCCCTTAATCATTGTTTGTTCACATTGATCTTCCCAGTAACGTTGTCCCACCGGCATTGGTTCATTATCATCTTCAATCAAATTTGCAATGTGTTTCTTTTGATTCCATTTTGGACATTTGCCTAGAAAATGCCCTAGCTCATTGTACTCAAAACACTTAATGTGACTCTTATCTCGCTGAAAACAACCACCATCCTGACCTGACTCCTACCTCGGCCATGTCCGAAGTCTTATCGGTTTGAGCTCCCATGACCACAATGCTCACATTTGTGCTCTTTAACCTACTATTTTCCATCACCTTTAGTGAAGAGTAGTTTATCTTGCGTAACTCTTTCCTCGGTTTGCTTTTTGTCGTGTTCCTCGAATGCTTTCAATCTTCGAGCTTCTTGAGATGGCATTGTGTTAATGTCGTCAAACTGTTCAATTGCAGCAATGATTTGCATGAACTTTTTTGGAACTGAACCCAAAAGCTTTTGAACCAATCTTTTGTCTTCAAATGCAGACCCAAGGTTGCTTGCTTGTGTTACAACTTGACTAATTTTGCTAGCAAAATCATCAAGTGACTCATTGTTCTTCATCTTTAGAATCTCAAGATCTGATTTAAGTCTGTAATCGCACCGCTACACTAAAAAAGTGAGCAACTTGTAACACGATCTCTTCCGGCAAAGCTTGAAACATATATGCTATTGCCATATTTTTTCTTCTTTGGATCGATTTCTATTCCTGGTTCGATCACCTCCTAAATCCCATTAATGTTGAAAATTGCTTTGATCTTCACGACCCAAATAGTGTAGTTTGTAGCAGTTAGAAATGGAACCTTAAAAGATAGTGAACTATTCTCTCTTGTAGATCTTCACGACCCAAAGCTTGAAATGCTCTTTTTCACAATGTGGTTGATTCCTTCTGCTCTAGATCACACAACCTCTAATCGCAATCCAGACCGCTCTAATACCAATTATTATATAGGATCGGATTAAAGCAAAATAGAGTATTTTTGTTGTTGTGAACTTGTTCCTGAATATCTGTGTTTTCTAAATACAAATAGAGAATAAACCAACACGACTTTTACTAACCAACACAACTATTAAAAACCAGCACACCTATTTGAAAGACAGGATGAAATTAAAGTAAAATAGAATATTTTATTCCTGTAAATTGTACATTGTACATGATTATTTGTGCTCTCTAAATATAAATAGAGAACATGCCAACATGACTTTTACTAACCAACACAAGTATTACAAACCAACACACCTATTAACAAAAGCTGCCTTTTAGAAACTACCCAGTGTTTTTTTAATTAATTCAATATGTAAAACATACTAAACAACACTACACTAACTGACTCTATACTAACTGATCCGAACATTGACTCATTACCCATTCGGTTATATGTGAACAAACCCGATTAAATCTAACAATCACGCCCTTAATTGTTGTTTGTTCACACTGATCTTAACATCAACGTTGGTTTATCATCTTCAATCAAATTTGCAAATTGTTCCTTTTGATCCCGTTTTGGACGTTCAAAAAATGCCCTAACTCATTGCACTTGAAACACTTAATGTGACTCTTATCCCGTTGAAATCGACCACCATCCAAAGTCTTCTCGGTTTTAGCTCAAGCAACCACAATGCTCACATTTGTGCTCTTAAACCTTCTCTTTTTCATTACCTTTAGTGAATAGTAGTTTACCATGTGTATCTCTTTCCTCAGTTGGTTTTTTGATGCGTTTCTTGAATGCTTTCACCGGGGTTGCGACTTTGGAGATTGTAACTTCTGCTAGTGCAACTGACTGCGCAGGTTGATTGGAAGAGGGGATCGACGATTGGGAGGTGATCAAAACTTGGCCTGCAACTTCTGCATGTGGGACTTTGACTTCACATGTGGATTGGAACTTGGAAGCGATGAAGATAAGGGAATACGATCGATTAAGTGCCCAATTCAATTAATCCAAATATTTTACAGATCTGTATGACGACAATGGCGCTCGCCTAACGCCATAAACCTCTGCAAGAATGGTGATCGCTTTTTAGCTCCTCAAGGCTATCGCCATGCACAGTCCAATCCAAGTGGTAGAGGCTCGCCACTGCGCCTTAACTGCCGTAGGCGAGCATGGTGGACACCATTCATAACTATGCATAAAGTTCAAATAACTAAAGCAGCCATTGGAAAAAAACATGCCACAAACAAACAATGAGTTGTGGAACATCAAACGATGAGTGAAGCCTCAAATGTCATCCTCATCAGCAATGCCAGTCTCCTCTGTCAAAATAGTGTATGTGAAGGGAGAGAAACCAAAATTAAGTGATAAACAAAAAAGGGGATGCCGGATGCCTCACGAACATCGCCCGCATCACCAGGAAGAATGTGCTGAGCCCTGTGCCTCACACAATGCACGCTTTTCACAACTTTGGGAGCCAAGGAGAACATTTGGTGCATGGTTGCGGTTATGAAGCCTAAAAGGGAATGATTATGTAAGCTCTAGAGTCAATTGATATCATGAATTTTTTAGAAGCATGCATCAAGAATGAGTAATTTGAGTTACAGGTTTTGGATAAGTAGTAACTTTATTACTCATGGCATGATATATTATCTGCCAGAAACTCAATTGTTTCTTCATATTTTGGTGTTACAATGACCATGATATATTGTCAAATTTCAATTAGTGTCTTTTAATGGTTTTGACACTCCTCCCAAGTCCTAATTAGCATACATTTCATCCATCTGCCAATTTGTCGCTTGAATAATGTGTTTCTTTGTTAGAAGCATCTCTGACTTGTGTTGAAGGTTGACTTCATTTTCTTCCAAGTGCTTGCTTGCTTGCTGCTTACCAATTTATATTGATACTAGGGAACTGCGGTGTCTGTCACAAACAACGCCGCATTTTGTTTGTAATTCTAAATCTATAGTACTCTGTTGACTGTAATGAGTAGAAGTTGGTTTTACACTTTTTAAAAATCTAATCAAATTATTTATCTGAAAGGTGAGGGCTACAGCAGTGACGTGCTTTGCTGGAATAACATCTTCTGTATTATTCTCTTTGTCGAAAGCAAAACAGGAATTCATTCTTTACTCTTCTGTAAGCATTTCAATTCTCCAATTATGCGTTGCTGAATTTTTAGTGAAACCCAAGTTTTTTAATAGATATTTTTCCATTCAAAAAGGGCTAGTGGTGCACTTTGTTGCACTTGCCTTCCATTTACATGTATTCGTCAACAAACAGTTCTGATAAAAAATGACCCAAGATTGGCAGTATGTGATTAGTGATACTTATTCTCATCTTTGTAGATCAGCTCTGCTCTAACTGATGATGCTCCTTCAGTCAGGTCGGCTGCTTGCCGTGCCATTGGTGTAATTGCTTGCTTCCCACAAATATTTGACAGGTAACCCGATCTTTTTAAATGTCTACTTTCTACAGAGAAGTGAGCAAGTTTTTTACTGATCCATTGTATAGTGTAGAGGTCTTTGAAAAGTTCATCTATGCTGCTGAACACAATAGCCGGGATACATCAGCATCTGTAAGTTATTCCTTATGCTGCCTGTGATTTGTTTCCTTTGTATTCTTATTGCTTTCCCTTTCAGGTCTGAATAACAGCTTCATGGGCTTTAGCAAATATATGTGATGCCCTTTACCACCATGTTAATTTAAATGGTTTTGATCCACATTCTTCGGGTGAGACTATAACTTATTATCTTGTTTCTTTTATTAAGGCATGTAATCAGTGCCTCGGCTGACTGCAATTTAAATATTGTCAAATATTTAACACTCTTTAATTTCATAGATTCAGAAGGAAGTTCTAAATGGGTCTCATTGCTAATTGACAGTTCGTTGCAACTTGCAAAAGATAATGACAAGGTGAACATTCAACTCTTTTCAGCTGAGTCTGCAACTTAAGCTTAGAGATTTCTGGATCTATGTTTACAATGGAAATTTGTAATTATCTGATATGGTCCACCACTTAAAATAAGATATGGTCCAAAGAATAATAAGTATGGTTACAATTAGGTTTGATAAACTTAGTGCCTCCGTCCCATGATCTTTGTCATGTTTTACTATTTTGCCCATCCCACTATCTTTGTCCCATACTCCCATTCCATACATCTGATATTTGTGTGGTCCAAAATCTACCTATCCTTATCCATACTTTACATATGCAATATTACCATATAGTTCCACTTTTTTCTTGTTTTGCTTGGTGTAACCCCATCTCCAAAACTTAGTGGGACTAAGGGAGTAATATTTTTGAACTTTACCATGCCTTGGCTGTTAAAGTCTTTATGCATCTGTGACATGCTTAATTAAGGTTATTTGCAATTTATTATTTGAATGGTCATTGTCTTAAATTGCTTAAATAGTGAAAATGGAAATAGCTAACCACTAAGTTACACGGTAATCTGTAATAGTTGTTCTCCCTTCACAACTTTCTATTTTTGTTTGTTTGTTCATTCCTACATTCAACAAAGTGGCCTTATTTGTTCCGTGTTGAACCTAACTAGATTGGATCAATTCTAAGGGATATAACTGTTGTTTCCCTCTGATTTTTCAAGTAACATGTTACTATGCATGCATGGTCCTAGATCAAAGCAAATGCTGTGAGAGCTTTGGGGAACCTCTCAAGATTTGTTCCATTCAAAAATAATTCAAGTGCTTATGATAGCGCCGGAAAATGTACTGGACCTCTGACATGTAGCTCTGTAAAAGGTTTCAATAAGAGTGATGATCCAATCGGCAGTCCTAGTCCAAGCAAGAATCAATTGGAAGAATCACATTGGCTTGAAAAGATGGTTCAAACATTTCTTTCTTGTGTTTCAACCGGAAATGTCAAGGTAAATCGCCCACCCATTCCATTTTTTAAAACATCACAGCATCACTTAAGATTAATGTTGAGACTTGAGAGAGATCACTTGGATCTAGTTCTCTTAAATGTGGAATGGAATGCCATTCCATTCAAAGTATGCTAAGCATGCTAATTGTGTGCTAAATAAGGGGCTAGTTCGCCATAAGCTTATAATACTATCATAGGTTTATAATACTATAGTGTGTTATTGTCTGTTTTATTTTCTGCAATATTTAACAATGGTGTTGTGTACTCCCTCCTTCCTTAAACTGACTTCTTAGTTTGACTCGAGTTCATTTTTAAGAAAGAGTAAAAATTTTGTCGACTTTCCAAATAAGCCCTTGCCTCTAGAAGCTGAGATTTATATGGTCCACGCCATTATTGGGTTCCAAAAGAGATGAATTTCTAGAAAGGGAAAGAACATTTTTCATTAAATAATTAAACAAGACCCAAACAATAATCATTTGAAAAATCAAAAATTAAGAAAAAGTTTCTTTCAATTCCAATGAAAGAGCTTCAGGATTCTTCATTTTCTTCAGCCGATTTACACACATCAACACACACAAATGGCACACAGGTGACGTTGCTCTGAGTTACGACATTATTGTTGCCCTCTTTGTCCTCTTTGTCCTCCCAGTACTGAGAGGAGAGGGGCCAGAACTAGTTTTCGCAGATGAGAGTGACGAAGAGGAGATGTGGGTGGGTCTAAGGTTTGAAGTTATAGATGAGACATTAACAGAGAGTGGAGGTGCGATGAGTTGAAAACAAGTGGGTTGGAGTGGATGAGTTGGTTGGGGTTGTATATGTCATTTAACATATTAAAATATTTCATTATAAGTAATGTGAAGATAGTTTTAGGACGGCCCAAAAAGGAAAGTGAGAAGATATTTTTAGGACGTAGGGTGTTTAATTTAATTTGGATGTAGGGGATTTTGCGAGGGAGGTTAGTCAATTTTATAGTACAAGTAAGACCAAAAGCTAGTGTGTGGGTGTTTGGTTGGCATCCTTATATTAGTTGTTTGTCACCAAAATGCTTCTCACATGGGCTTCTTTGGAAAGCATTTTATTTTATGTTTTTTTGTACACCACCAAAATGGTAGTCTTTTCGTCCTGATACTATGCTCACATTTTCTCTGATGCTATGTTCACATTTTCTGTTTTGGAATGTACGAAATAATGTTATAATTTTTTTTCCATATTGAAATTATTTTTCTTTCCTCTGCATCAATCCTAGCCATACGATTTCTACTTTTTTAGGTTGTGTAAAAAGAAAACAGTGACTTTAATATGGGATGAAGGGAGTAATTCCTATGATCAAGCAGGTAAAAGGATAACAATGTGTTTAATGCTTCTGAATGTTGGAGGGAACATGAGTCTTCTACTAGGTGAGATGGGGGAGTTTGAGACCCTTCAAAGTTTTAGGTACGGTCAAGGCCAGATATGAAGAGGTGGTGAGGCCACAGTAGGATGAGAGTGGGGAGAGCCATGAGACCAGATGAGATCCTTGTGGGTTGGTGTGGATCGCCAATTTGTTTAGTCTAATTTCCAGGATGGCTAAGAAGCCTAGTGAGGCCATTAGTAGGATGAGAGTGAGGAAAGCCTCGAGACCAAATGAGGGTCCTATGGAGTTTTGGAAGGTTGCGGGCAGGTGTAGGCTGGTGTGGAACACCAGGTTTAATGTCATTTTCAGGACGGCTAAGATTCCGAGCGAGTAGAAGGAGCATGCGTGATCTCGTTGTATCCGGGCAAATGTGATATGTAGAGCTGTTATAATTATAGAGGCACCAAACTTCTGAGTCACACCATGAAGATTTGAGAGCAGATTATTCAGACTAGGTTGAGGAAGGAAGTGAGCATTTCTAAGAATCAATTTTGTTTCATGCAATGTTTGAAATGGCATTGCGCAATATGCCATATTACCTGCTAGAAGGCTAATCATAGGCCGTATGGGTTTCTCAGTTATGGTGCAAGAGGGCTACGCAATGAGGCATACACAATGAGGCATGTGGAATGAGCCGGAAGGAGGCATACACCATAAAAAAATTTAAGATTAAGTTAAAAGTTGTAATTTTATTAGAAAAATTTAACCCTTAAGCTACTGGACCCTAGTTTATCAATGTGTCCAATCTCTTATTTGGTCTTACATGTTCAACTCTGTGTTCTTCATCTAGAACTTCATCCCTCTCCGGTGGTCTTCATCTTCTCTTTGGTCTCCCTTTCTTTTTTTACTCCCTCCCTCCCAAAAAGAATTACACTAATCACTATTCAAAATTTGCGAAAACTCTTGTTTATTTATGCGTTTTGATTGATTATTCGATAAAATAAAATATTCTTGTTACCTCTTGTTTGTTGAACTTTTGATGTAGTTTTTGAATATGTAAGTTTTATTTTTGTTTTCTATACTAATCTTTAAATAAAATGAATTTAAAAAACTTAAAAATTTGCTTCGGTGTAAAACATTTCAGGATGGAGGGAAGATTTGTTTTAATTCATTTATATTTGTTTTAGCGATAACATTTTATGCTCATTAATTTGCTATTCATTTAATGCTTTCAGTTTCGATCATTACCACTTTGCCATTAAAACATGAAAACTTTATGTGCATAAATTTTTACTTTTATCTTTTTAGTATAACAAATTGTGTATAGCATTCGGCAATTTAGGTCTGTTGCTTACGACCAATATTTTGTACTATGTCATGGTAGACGTTGACACATTGTTTCCTTTAAAACATTTTACATTAACAATATATTTTGATGTTCATGGATTAATTATGCAATTAATAATGTTCTATATTTAATTAGAATAATATTTTATGCACATCTTACTATCCCAGTACTTTAAAATGAAGCTTACGCATCAAAACACTTCAAGGCTTATGCAATATGCTTTGGGGGAAAATGCCTCAAAACCGCAATACGCCATTTCGAACAGTGGTTTCATGCCTGGTCATTCACCTCTTGAGAAGACTGATGGAGCAGTATAGAGACAACAACAACAACAACCCAGTTGAATCCCACTACAGTAGCTGGGGAGGGTGTGTGTACGCAGACCTTGCCCCTACTCGGAAGTAGGGAGGCTGTTTCCAAGAGACCCCCGGCTCAACCTACACAAAAAATATAATAGGTATATGATAGAGTTCCTTGTGAGATCTATAGATGTGTGTAGAGTATTGAGGGCTTGGTTGATTACATTCGTGTTGTTAATGACATGTATGATGGCGCAATAACCAAGGTGAGGTCATTACAAGATGACAGACAACTTCCCTGTGGATATGGGGTTACATAGGTCCTGTTCTTAGTCCTTTCCTGTTTGCTTTGGTAAATGGTGTTCTGACGCAAAATCCTCATTGACAAGACAGAAGATGGAGTCAGCAATATGTTTGAAGCATGAAGAGTTTAAACTGAGCAGGACTAGGACTAAGACTGAGTACGTAGAATATTGCTTCAGTGGTATATGGTCCCAGTTGGAAGTGGAAGTGAGGATTGATTCACATTCAGTGCCTAAAAGGGACACAGTTCTGATACTTTGGATCTATCATTCAGAACAAAGGGGGAGGTAGATGGAGATGTTGTTCATCACATTGGTGTCGCTTGGCCAAAGTGGAATCTTGCTTGAGGTGTCTTTTGCAAGAAGAGGATGTTGACAAATCTGGATGGGAAGTTTTATTGGACAATAAGCTACTCACCTTTGGAGTCTACAAGTGACAAATACGAGCATGCTGAGATGCACATGTGGTTTTAAAGCTGCAGTAAGCTAGATTGAGACGGTTTGCACTTTTGCCTCTAAAGAACCCTAGATCCAATCTTCCTTCCCATTTTGTCCCCCTCTCGAGAACCCTAGCATCATAGTCTTTTCTCTCTGCATTTCTTTAGTTTCATTCTTTTCATATGGATTCAGTGGCTGTCTGTTTCCTCTATGTTATTCCCAAAATTGAGATCCAATGTGAAGGGGCCTACGCTGGCTAGGAGGACGACAACTCTTTCAATGTCAACCATGGTTATCAATGGGACAAGTCGAGTCAAGTCGGTGGAGAAGAGACTTGTGGACTAGTCGTAGACTAGTCGACAAATTACAGTAAGTAATGAAATTTTTAAAATTTTTTATTTCTTCATTCACCAAAGATAACTATTAAGGGAATATATATTTATACGATGAAGTACCGTTACCATAACAAATTTATGTTTAAAGGTTGTACATAAACTGACATAACAAAGACAACGTAAGGAACAAATATCCTTAATTCTTCAAGCCCAACAATCTAACAAAGATAACAATTAATCAATACAAAAATAATTTATTAAAATTTGTTTTTTATATGACAGAGGTTTGCTCTCAATAAAAGTAAAAACTTTGTTGTAGGTTCAATAAAACTGATCTTTATTCTTAAAAAAAGTAAAAAAGTAGTTGTATATGCCTATTTTAGGAGGGAGTTTTTTAAATGCCTTGTTAGAAAATTAGGTCTTGCATAGATAAGCCCACTAACGTTTGAACCAACCCAAATATTATGACCTATTTGGGCAGCTGTAAATAACAAAGAGAGGGTTTGAGATTCGCTTGACATAGTGAAACGCAATAGGTCCGGTCCATAAGTCGGTGGCGGCAACAATGAAATCAGAGATGTAAGTCTTTCTTCTTCCTATCTTCTTCTTCTTCTCTTTCATCTTCTCTCAGTTATGGAGCCATCTGCACGCATTTCCTGATTTTCAAGGTCTCCAAGCCGTCTCCGTGCAACATAGCAGTTCTAGGCACTAGTCGATGGTCAAGTCTAGCTCTCCAAAACTACCGGACGACTAGTTGTGGACTAGTCGGAGACTAGGTGACGACTTAACAACACTGATGTCAACAGATCTTTATGTGTTCCACCATGGTGTCACTGTTTTCCCAGTGAACTAACGCCCCCGAATTTAAAGATATATCTACAAGATTACATATACATTTCCTATATTACTAGTGGATGCTTTTATTTCCTTTTTGTATGCTTTAAAATGTTGTAGACTTTTCTATAATATAAACCACAATTCTGTTTCCCTTCCGATGAAAGTTAAAAATATAATCCAACTCATTTTGGACTAATAACTGAAAATATGCACTTTTCTAGTCCATCCTTACTGTAGTAAATAGAACTTTTGCAGGATAGAGGGGCTGGTTGAGGTGGAAGATAGTGTGAGTTTGGTGTAATTATTTATTTATATCATTGCCTTTTTTAAAAATATTATATCATTTAAATCAGTTGTAAAACCATAAACAATTAAATGAACTCATGTCCTTTCACACAAGTTCTATGGGGTACAGGTTAATTTTTTCACTGCCTATAACCTTGGTTTTTAGCTTGAACGATCACCTGCTCTCCAAATTAGTCCAAATTAAGAAACAAAGATTGCATTCCCTCCAAAGTTGGCCAATTGAGAAGAAAAGATTGCTTTTGTATTGATAGGCTGGAAGTCATTCATTTCATAACATGCTATGTTTATAATATGTTTATTTTTTTGTAGGTTCAGTGGAATGTGTGTCATGCATTGAGCAACTTGTTTTTAAATGAAATGTTAAATTTGCAAGATATGGACTGGTAAGCAACTAATTACAAAAGTTCTATTATACTAGTTTTAAGGTGATTCCTCTTCTGTGATAGAATAAAGCTATAAAATTTTCCTCCTTTCACCTTTTGTGAATACTCCCTCCGTCCCATTAGTTTGTTCATGATTGGACCTCTAGGATCAAAATTTGTGACGTTTACCCGTCATTTGTGTAAAAAGTACGTTGAATTATAATGTGAAATCAATATCATTATTCATTAGATCTGATTTAAAAGTTGTTGTGAAAGATTAAATAATTATGGAGTATAATTTTTTTTCCTATATAGGGTTACGTATAGCAATGGTTAAACATGAACACAAGACAAACATGAACAAAATTATGGGACTGGCCACGGGGGAAGCTTTTTGAATCAGTAGCTCGTTTAGCTCTTAATAAGACACCTGCATGTTCTCTGAATTCTCTCTTATAAGAAAGACAACGACTTATGGAGACTATCTTTGCATTATATATACTTGTGTATCATGACATCTTGCGATATGGAATGCAAGCCTTCTTTTCCTCTCTATCATATGTTCTATTGCCGCACATAGTATCAACAAGGAACTGGAGTTCAGATTCAGAGCTATTTTGGTCTTCAGAACACGCTTCATTAATTGTTTAAAAATATATCTTGACCTTTTTCCTGAACACTTACCTTTGATTACATGACAGAGAGTGTCAGCTCCCTGTTTTGGATTTTTGCAACCATTCGACGAGATGACTATTGTTTTCTGACGCTAGAACTTCCTGCGTATGGATCGCCTATGCCTAACCACCGTCTCTGTTGCCGTTGCCTTCAGATCTGGAATACTACCTGGAGATCAACGACTGAAATTGAAACGAGTAAGGTTGGGACCAAACAATTTCGAGCTGAGTTGAGTTCACGAGGCGTAATCTTTTGTTAAAGATTTAGAGCTGTTTAGGATCATTCAAGCATAGTTGTTATGGCGTCCCTAATCATCCCCTAGGCATCGCCTAGGTGGTATGGTACTCTGCGTAGGAAATCGCGACAAATGCCTCACCTCACATTTTACATCAAGCGCTGAAGTTGTCACATTGGCGTCAGGTAGTCCTCACAAGATCGTCAAATTTGCCCTTTGCCTTGTGGAATTTGTTGGAAAATTGTGGGATCCACGGGGATGTTCATCGCTCCACTCTCTATTAACTCTAGTCTCTTACTCTCTTAGCCGATCGGAATTGGAGCTAGGCAATCCTCTTCGTCGACTTCCATCAACTCACTTCCAGTTTTTAGTTGATTATTATTATTATCATCATCATCGTCGTCGTCATCATCATCAGCATCATATTCTACGCCACTTTATTAGCAACTTGCATAAGCCCCAACTTGTCTTCCTATTAATTCAAATTATTTACTCTATAGTAATTAAAGTCTAGTAGTATAATATTTACAGTTATTATAAGTATTATTATTAGTTATTTGATATGTTCTACTCCCTCCATCCTAATTTATTTTTCCGTGCAAAATCTCATTCCTTTTAAAATGATTTTATTTACAAATTGGTATAGTAATAAAAAGTGTAATCTACCTTGTTTAAAACTACATCAAAAGTCCTATAAAACTAGAAGTAATCAGAATATTTTATTTTATCAAATAATCAATGAGAATATGCATACAAACATAAATTATCGAGAGGCCGTAACAGTAACTTGGAAAATTAATTGGGGTTTGATAAATTACTCTTTACTTTTTTTTTGATCAACAAGGCTGGGGAGACCCCGAGCTAGTAGCCTCGTGGAGTGGTGGTAGTGTGTCGCGTAGTAGTGACCCTCATCATTTCGTCAGTACTCAAGTTTTCCAAATCTGCAGTAGGGACCTCAAACATTCTCCATGAAATGTCTTGAAAAGCCCCAAGGTTAGCTAGACGATCCGCGACCTTGTTTTGTTCCTGCAAGATGGCTCTAAAGCTGATTTTATGGAATCAGTCAGTCCAACTCTTTATTGTTATAATAGTATCGCTGATGGGTCCCCTCAAACTCGTCGATCTTGTAATCCAATTGACAACTTCTCTAGTGTCTGACTGCACCTCAAGATCCCTCACCCCTCTACCCCATGCCCATCGGATGACTTTCTCAATGGCTTTAGCCTCGATTTCCTCGATGTTATTTGGTCTAGTTCTATAGGAAAAAACCGCCAAGCCATTCTCCGCTATTGTTGCGAATGACTCCGCCGCACCCCGCCCTGTTTGCCATAACTTTATTGCTTCCATCAACATTAAGAGTGAATTCATGATCAACTGCCGGATTCCATTTTAGCCGAGGATCTCTTGTATTCATCAAAGAGGGAGTTGATATATAATGTCAAGATTTGAATCCCTACTTTTAAGAGGTGTGATCCTTGCGCTTATTTGGATTGGGATAATAAAAATTGAGTGTCTTTGTTGGTATGAATATTTTGATATTAAGAAGTTGAGGACTAGTTACAGAGTTTATGGAGTATGTGGTGGCTTGGTAAGATGAATTGGTTTTAGAAGCGCGTAGTTGAAGGTGATTATGAAAAGATTTGTTCCTAGTTATTATTCCAAGGAACTATATGTTCCTCTCACACTTAGAAATGTGGCACAAGAATCTTTTTTTACTAATGGTGGGAGCCAAGCATGCACATGATAGGGAGCCTCGTGAAGCCACTATGGTGCATTTCATCAAGGGTTTGGACTGGAGA